AGTAATGGTTAGTTAATAACTAGTGGTAATGGTTAGTTAATAACTAGTAGTAATGGTTAGTTAATAACTAGTGGTAATGGTTAGTTAATAACTAGTAGTAATGGTTAGTTAATAACTAGTAGTAATGTTAGTTAATAACTAGTAGTAATGGTTAGTTAATAACTAGTAGTAATGGTTAGTTAATAACTAGTAGTAATGGTTAGTTAATAACTAGTAGTAATGGTTAGTTAATAACTAGTAGTAATGGTTAGTTAACAACTAGTAGTAATGGCTAGTTAATGACTTGTAGTAATGTCTAGTTTTAAGAACGACCATATACCTGAGAGTTTATGTATCCAGACAAACGTTTGTCCTTTAACAGATACGTCCATACCTGAGAGTTTATGTATCCAGACAAACGTTTGTCCTTTAACAGATACGTCCATACCTGAGAGTTTATGTATCCAGGACAAACGTTTGTCCTTTAACAGATACGTCCATATACCTGAGAGTTTATGTATCCAGACAAACGTTTGTCCTTTAACAGATACGTCCATACCTGAGAGTTTATGTATCCAGACAAACGTTTGTCCTTTAACAGATATGTCCATACCTGAGAGTTTATGTATCCAAACAAACGTTTGTCCTTTAACAGATACGTCCATACCTGAGAGTTTATGTATCCAGACAAATGTTTGTCCTTTAACAGAAAGAAAATCAACATTATTAAATTTAAACTTTGTGCCTTTTTCAAACGTAATACCACTCCGTTACCATAGAGTTTTGTACTTATCACTGAATAACTGAGAAATGCGTTTACAAGGTACCATTACAACCACCACTGGTATTATGAGACAAAATGCCGAAACTTTATAGTTTCAAGTACTCCTGTAAAATCAGTTGACATTTTCATTTATTTTCAGCATTTCACTATTCTTGTGTAGCCGACAAAGATTCAAGTCGTATTTTCACCAAAATCACACAACATATTGTGTTTCAGAAGACTCTGGTAACACAGTGGCTGTTAATCTCAACATAATCACAATAGAAAGGTAAATTCTGAAGGGATGCGACAAGAATTATCTGTTGTGAATTTGGAAACTGGGTTATTTGGAGATACTGATCACATGTGGAAAATGTTTAAACATAAAGTTTTAAATATTCAAGATAAACCTATTCCTTATAGAAAAAAGGTGTGTGCAAGTAAAAAAAAAAACAGGTTGGCTCATAAAGGGTATAAGGGATAAAATTAAAGTAAATCATCACAAGTTTGAGAAATTGACTGGTATGATGGGAGATTTAGATGATTATGGAAGATCAAAAATATTGGTTAACCAGGAAATTAGGACATCAAAAAGGATGTATGAAAAAGTGTTGGCTGAAAAGGTAAAAAAATTAACAATAAGGATTTCTTTAAATACATTAAAGGTAAACAAAATGTTAAGATAGGGTTAGAATCTTTGAGGGATGATAAAGGAAGACTTGTATCTTATGATTATGAAATGGCTAGTTTATTAAATTCTGACTTTTCTTCAGATTTTACTAATGAAGATTTAAGCAATATTCCTCATCTTGAACAGTTGATAGATGGAAGCAAGATAGAACAAGATGATCACATTAATTCTGTGTTTGTCAAGAAACATGGGAAGTTTACAGAACTATAAGGCTCCTGGGCTAGATAGTATTTCCTCAAGGGTTTTGAAGGAGGTTAAGGATTGGATATTTGAGTCACTTGCTACTATTTTTTGTAAGTCCTTTAATAGTGGGCAGGTGTCAAAGGATTGGAAGTTAGCTAATGTTACTTCTCTTTTCTAGGAAGGTGATAAAAACCGCCCAGTAATTATAGACCCATTAGTGGGAAAAGTTTTGGAAAGACTGTTAAAAAATGCTTTGCAAAGTTATTTAACAAAGTTTACAATGTTATTGGATATTCAACATGGTTTCAGTAAGAGAAAATCTTGCCTTACAAATCTTTTAACATTCTTTGAAAAGGTTACTGCTTATATGCATGACGGTCAGTGTGTAGATTTGGTGTATCTGGATTTTCAGAAAACATTTGACAAGGTGCCACATAAAAGGCTTGTAAAAAATTATCTGTGTAGGTGTGGGGAAAAGCTAGCAAATTGGATAGAAGAGTGGCTGGATGGAAGAAATCAGAGGGCTGTTATAAATGGAGTTCAGTCAAACTGGATTAATGTCACAAGTAGGATACTTCAAGGCTCAGGCTTAAGACTTTTGCTCTTTTTTATTTATATCAATGACATAGATGAAGGAATAGTCAATAAATTACTTAAATTTGCTGATTATATTAAGGTCTTGGGTGTTGTTAGCTGTAAAGAAGATACTGCTGCTTTACAAAAGAATTTATAATAAACGGAAGATAATGCAAGTGGATTATCATAATCTGAATTATAAGTATAATTGGGGTGGCAATAACCTTAACAGTGTCATGAAAGAAAAGGATCTTCTTGTAGTGATTGATCAGTCTCTTAAACCATCCAAACAATGTGCTGTTGCTAGTGGTAGGACAAATGGGGTTTTAGGTTCTATTTACAGAAATAGTGAATACAAGTCTAAAGATGTTATAATTTCATTGTATAAGTCACTTATTAGGCCGCGTTTTGAGTATTGTGTTCAGTCTTGAGCTCCTTACCTTAGGAAGGATATCGAATTATTGGAATAGGTTCAGAGGAGGCCTACTAGAATGGTACCTGGGGTGGATGGGTTATTAACTATAAATTATGGCAAGGTAGGAGTCATCTTCAGCTAAGACAGTTGTATTTTTCTAACAGTGGTTGGCCTTTGGTTTGTTTGTTTCAAGTTAAGCAGAAAGCTACACAATGAGCTATCTGTGCATTGCCCACCACGGATATCGAAACCTGGTTTTTAGCAATCTAATTCCGCAGACATACTGCTGTGCTACTGTGGGTGGGGGGCATGTACTTTGGTACGGGTTGCCTTCGGATGTTGTGGAGGCACTAAATTTAAGTGAGTTTAAGAGAAAGCTTGAAACTGTATATGAATGATATGGGTTGGCTTTGAGTGTTTTATTTTTATTTATTAAATAGTTTTAGCTTAGTTTAGCTGATGGAACAGCCTAGATGGACCAGTAGGTCCCTTGTTTTCCCTAAACATTATGCTATGTTAAAATGGTCACATATATTGCGCTGTGATATCTACTTTTTTTTAACACAGAAATATTTATATCGTCATGGAAAGTGGGTTTTTCGTTCTTTATTTAGTGTTTCTTTTTGGCACTGTGTATCTTATGGTGTATCATTATATATATGAATAACATTTTCTCTTCAATTTTTGTTATTGTGCTTAATGTATTCTTTTCTCAACTCTGTCAATAGTTATGAAACGTAAGTAAATGTATTTCAAAATATTCTAAATGAAGACACAAGTAATATTATTATTCCATGCTTTCCTTGTAAAATATTCTTAGATTAAATTAATACCATTACTTGCATCTTTTTATTACCGTTATTCGCGTATATGGAAATAACCCTTGTTCTCAAATATTCGCCCCCAGTGGCTCAGTAGTAGATATGAAAGCTTATAACTCTCAAAATTGGATTTCGATTCCCGTAGTTGGCACAGCACAGATAGTCTATTGTGAAGCTTTTTCTTAACTACATAAATGTATTTATCTGCATAATTTCATTTTGTAACCGATGTCGTTTTCAGTTGTTTTTTGTTTAAATAAACTCCAATAATAACAATAAGCATTCTGTGTGTATCTTATCTGAGTTTCGAATATAACTTCAAAGATACGTTTGTTGTTTTTTCTGTAATATATGTGTGTTTTTTTATTATTTTATAACAGTCACATTGGGCCATCTGCTGTGGCCACCGAGGGAAATCAAATCTTTGATTTTTTGCGTTTTAAATCCGTAGACTTCTGCTGTCCAACCGGGGTGCTTCTATAAAGTAACTCAGTAAATCACCTCTGCCCTGACGTTTATAGATTTAGTAAAATAAAGCGACTTTTTATATTTAAATGATAAATGAGTAAGTAAACATATTTCCTTTTTACTTACTTTTTATAGCATTTGTTTTTAGTACAATTGTTTAAATATTGTATATGGAATAATTCTTCGTAACTTAGATTTTATACATACAAATTAAGTGGAAATATAAATGTATTAAAATGCCAATTTATTATTATATTTTGATCTGTAAGGTCAATTCTCATTTTGAAATAAGTTGCTTTATTCGAACGGATGCTTTTTATATTTATTTTATCTTAATTTCGAATTTCAAAGTTCATACAGCCTAAGTAATGCACCATGGTCCATTCGTTACCACAATTAAAATAAAATAAAAAGGGTATTGATTGTATATAATGTTTTATATGAGCAATTAAGCAAAAATCGGGACACTAGTGATTGTGCGCGATATTGTTTTCATCCATTTTAATATTTCATATTTACGAAACTGTTTTCGTATCTGTACAGGTCAATGGCGGGTGATGAAAGATCATATTTTACAAAAGAACAAGTTACTTCTCCTCTCGTAAACCCAAGCCAAAAATGCGGCATAGATGCAGACAAAGAATTGTCATATAGACAACAAGCTTCTAATTTTATTCAAGACATGGGTCAAAGGCTTAAATTGTATCTTTTTTTGGTTGTATTCCTGCTGTTTGTGATTGTGTCGTATATTAATATTATTATTAGACTTATTATTAAGTTATCAACGTTAGACCTTGTATTTTTATTCAATAAAAGTTTTATAATGTACACGAACGTTTTGATACTGTGTTCATAATATCATTATGAAATATGCTAAACTGACACTGACAGTTAGTGCCAGTGGTAACGCAACAGACACATCAGAATTATATTTTAGTTTATAATAAAAGTTAAATATTTACATGCTTCTTTCCAGTATGGTCGTTATTGGTATAATATTACTAATACTGTTAGTATTACTAATAGTAATATATATATATATATATAGTACAAAGTACTATTAAACATAACTGCTTCAAGTTTGTGTATAATTTCCACAATTACACATTGAATTTGAAGGCTGGTACTTCAACATATACTGTAACTTGTAAGTGTAATTTCTTGAACCTCAAGTTATTCAACACAATATTGAAAGATACATTTTAACAATTTATAGTAAGTGGATGAAAATTATATATAAAAATGTAAACATATCCTGAAGACTTGTCATGTATGTCGACACTGAAAACATAGACTTAAAAGTTAGCTCAACATGGTGGCTAGGACTTCTGTAAAGGCCATTTTTTTAAGTGTTTATACTAATGCAAGAGCAATATTAAATGAGCAAACACCAGTTGGGTACCCTCTCTATTATCAGTATTTTTGGCCATAAACCCAATAATATCTCGTGAAGTATGACCAGCTTATGAAATATATGATAGTCCTAAATCCATATACCAAGCTAACAGTACAAAGTAATCTTTAAAAAAAGAATAAAGCATACATTATTTATTGAGTTTCTATACATATATTTTGCAAGTTATAATGATGAGACAAGTGTTAGGATAGGAAAACATTAATATTAGTTAGTTCACAGAGTGATTATAACTCAAACTTCTTTGTATAAGACTTTTGACCCCAAGTTTTTTAGATGCATCATTTATTATCTTCAATGTCATGGTAAAAATGGCAAAGTTAGAGGATTCTGCATTTTCAAAAGAAAGATATGGTTCCAACTTTCCTGTTCTACATCAGACAGTGAAAGGTAAACTTGTTTATTTAGCAGTTGTTTCTGTTTCATTCTTGAAGATATGAAATGCTTACAAGATATCCAGCCATTGGTTAGGGGTAATGGAAACTATTTATGTAATATACTTGTTAAGTCTACCCTAAATCAATATTTCATTTTTAAACTAATTGTATTTGTTTTTGTATTTTATTAATGAATCCTTTTAAGTATTTTTGTTTCTAGTATTAAAGTATTTCCTTAACAGAAATTCAGAACTCAACTGTGCATAAACACGGCAATAGTTTATATGCATCGTTTTTACATGTTTCATTCATTTACAAAATTCCACAGAAATGTAAGTAGTTCTAAAGTGGCTTTTTATTAGTGTGTGCACTCAGTAACATTTGAAGACACCTTGCTGTGTCAAAAAACAAAACAAAAAATATTTAAGACCTATGCATGTAGATGTCACTACAGGCCTCCTCTAGTACACTTCTTATTAATAAGTGACCAGTAAGGCTTTTTATGAATGTTTAACCATTTCTCCTCTGCATTATAGTTTAGTTATCTGTGTTGAAAATTTTTAACGTTGTAACATAGATGAAATTTGTTGTGTAACAAGGCAAAATCATTTCTTCGGTATTTATATTTTGAAGCACAAGGCTAGTCATTTGTGTATGTGTATTTAAAAGAAAAGTATGGTTACACGATAACATTTAATGTAAATCATATTTAAACACAATTGTGTAGCATTAAAAAGTCATAAGTTATTGTTCTTGGTTGAGGGTCTTTTGTAAATTACCTTTTTTTATATGTTGTTCGTAAAAATAAGTA